TCCAGCATTAAAAATATGCTAATCAAAGTTTTTCTCTTGCCGAAACCGGTTTGGCTCAGTGGCTAGAGCATCGGCCTGTGGACTGAAAGGTCCCAGGTTCGATTCCTGTCAAGGGCATGTACCTTGGTTGCGGGCACATCCCCAGTAGTGGGTGTGCAAGAGGCAGCTGATCAATGATTCTCTCATCGATGTTTCTAACTCTCTATATCCCTCTCTTCCTCTCTGTAAAAAATCAATAATAATAAAAATATATATATATATATAAAGTTTTTCTCTCATTACCAAAGTATTCCTTGTTCAGACAAACCTCTGAACCAGTTGAAAGTCATCTAGGATCTCATACCCCAAATAACCAACGCCAATAGTTTTGTTAGGACTTTCCCTTTGGATGTGGGTGCATATGCAGACATATGTATTGCCAAAGTGATGCTGGTTTGGCACATGCTATTTGTGAACGTCTCAGCTTGCTGATAAATACATAGCTACATCATTATTTGTAGTGATCCACTCACTATATGGATGTCCCATTTTCCCAATTTTTAAAAAATCTTTTATTAATTTCATAGATAGAAACATCAATGACGAGAATCACTGATTGGCTACTTCCTGCACGCTCCACACTAGGGATCAAGCCCTGAAATCCAGGCATGTGCCCTGACTGGGAATTGAACCGTGACCTCATGGTTCATAGGTCAACGCTTAACCACTGAGACACACCAGCTGGATCCATTTTTCCAATTCTTGACTACTTAGGTAGTAAATCTTTATGCCTGTGTCCAGTTCTTAGTGGGATCAAATTCAAATGATTTGAACATCTTTATCAATATCAACTTTCTAGTCTAGTATGTTATTTTTAAAAAATATATTTTGATTTTTCACAGAGGAAGGGAAAGGGATAGCCAGAAACATCGATGAGAGAATATCATCGACCAGCTGCCTCCTGCACACCCTCTACTGGGATGTGCCCACAACCCATGTACATGCCCCTGACCGGAATCGAACCTGGGACCCTTCAGTCTACTGAGCCAAACCGGTTTCAGCTAGTCTAATATGTTGTAATGGCTTTCCCAGTTATTTCTTTGAACTTTATTCTAGGATAGTTTAAAACTATAAAAATTCATATATTGATTTTCACATATTGAATCAGCCTTGCATTTTTTTTAACTTTTCCATTTTCTTTTTTAAATCGTTATTGTTGAAGCTTTTATTTTTTTAAATCGTGTGTCAGGGTAATGTTAGCCTTACAAGATAACTTTGGGTTGAGCCCTGGGGAAAAAAACCTATTATAAAATTACTCACAAGAACTTTATGGAGTCACTTACCCTCACTCCTCCCTCCCAACCTGCCATCATGTTCCAGTTGCCAGGGCTCTTTTCCTTCTCTGGCCAGAAATCCAGGCTTTGATTGCCACACGCTGCCATGCTCTCCCATGGCTGCACGTATGCCCGTGCTAGGCAGCGAGTGCACCTCTGGGGGGTCACCTGCCAGTCTTCTCCAAACTCTGTTACTAATTCCGTCCGAGTCCTCACACTGCTGCTCCAAGCATTTTATCCATGTTTTATAGTTGCATTGAGAGACAGGGAAGAGGATGCTTACTTCATCTTATCCAGAGCTGTAACTCACAAACTGGGTCTCAATAATTTAGCTGCCTCTCCCTTTCCACTTCACCATAAACTAAGCCCTCTCCGTTTCATCTCTTTTGATGTACAATAAGATTTCAAAAAATAAAAAAATGGAAGCACCTCTGCAACCAAGAATCTTCCCATCTAGGAAGTCTTCTTTTCCTGTTAGCCCGTTTTGTTTTCAACTCCCGCACCTTCTCTTCTCTCCTGGTCCAGAACGCAGGCAGGACAGGAGGCTGCTCCGATGGGAGATAGGGTTGTGCCTAGCTGAAAGGAAGACCAGAGCTTGACTTTCAGGCCTCCTCCTGACATTTCTCTGCAAACCACCAATGAGGGAAGTGCAGGTTTGCTTTATGACTGTCCTTTACACTCACGTGGTAACATCAGGTGTGCTAGTGCAGGAAGCGCAGGATCACAGAACATAAGGATTTGGAAACGAAGTAATCTGAGTTTCTCCGAGCCTCAGTTTAACGGATGTGGTCACACACACAGACTGGGAGGGCCACATGCAAACGGCCAGGCCGGCATCTGCCCTGTGACACAACTACATGCCCAGAGGGCCGCCTAGGAGGAAAATAGGAGCAAAGGAGAAGGCTGTGGTCCACTGTTCGGAAGAGGCTTTGTCTCAAATCTGTCCTCCAGGGAGTGGCCATGACCTTCAGCGTTAGCTAAGTAATACCATGTAGTAACATGTCTTGTGTCATCAGTTCTGCCAATGTTTCAAGAGAAGTCAAATTAGGATTTCTTTGTTTAAAATCTTTTAATATTGGCTTGGAGTCTCTAACAGAATTTGGGAGAAGTAACTGCCATCTATATTATGGATATAATACATACAATATCCTGACTGCTGGCTCTGGAAGAGTTTAAAATGCAGAGCAAAGGAGATGAGATTCCCTTTATGTTCCCATCCTTATGTGATCACTGACCTCAGAAACAGAGATAGCCTTGTAAGTTCTTTAGAATAGGGGTGGGAAAGGTTGATGGGCAGGCCTGTGGAGTAGACCAAATTTGGAAACTGGTTTGGCTCAGTGGATAGAGCATCGGTCTGCGGACTAAGGGGTCTCAGGTTCAATTCCAGTCAAGGGCATGTACCTTGGTTGCGGGCACATCCCAAGTGGGGGGTGTGCAGGAGGCAGCTAGCTGATGTTCCTCTCTCATCGATGTTTCTAGCTCTCTATCCCTCTCCCTTCCTCTTTATAAAAAAATTAATATATTTTTTAAAAAGATCAATTTGTGCCGAAACCAGTTTGGCTCAGTGGATAGAGTGCCGGCTTGTGGACTAAAAGGTCCCAGGTTCAATTCTGGTCAAGGGCATGTACCTTGGTTGTGGGCACATACCCAGTAGGGGGTGTGCAAGAGGCAGCTAATTGGTGATTCTCTCATCGATGTTTCTAACTCTCTATCCCTTTCTCTTCCTCTCTGTAAAAAATCAATAAAATATATATTTTTAAAAATCAATTTGCACGCCATGTCTTGAGCATTTAAATTCTACAGAAAGAGGGTTGGCTGAAAACACATCTATAGGAAACACATGGCTTAAAGATTAAAAGCTCAGCCTTTTTGCCAAAACCGGTTTGGCTCAGTGGTAGAGCATCGGTCTGTGGACTGAAAGGTACCAGGTTCGATTTCAGTCAAGGGCATGTACCTTGGTTGCGGGCACAACCCCAGTAGGGGGTGTGCAAGAGGCAACTGGTCGATGTTTCTCTCTCATAGATGTTTCTAGTTCTCTACTCTCTCCCTTCCTCTCTGTAAAAAATCAATAAAATATATTAAAAAAATAAATACATAAAAGCTCAGGCTTTTAAATGAATATAACTCTGATGATAAGACCCAATTCAGGAAACTATAGTATACTGAACCAATAGAGTATTGAAAATTATAAAATTTTCTGGAAATAATGTGCTCAGGCAACAAAACATTTATCAGCAATAACAAAATATAACTACCCAATACTTTTGAATATAGTTTTACTAAAGCATAAGTCATTTCAAAGCAAAAGTAGTTTATGTCAATTCTAACATATAATAGATTTAAGTCATAATATGATTTAAATTTTTATTTGTGTATTTCATTGTAGTGCTGTGACAAGAAAATGACACCTGTGTACCAGAGCATACACACATCAACAGTAAGATGTAACTTCTCATTACACCACTGCTAGAATATTTAGCTTTTTGTAGGACACATAAGCATGTAAGATGGCCACACCAAATAATTTTCTGCGTTTTTTTTTTCCTTAGATAATCTTAATTTTTTATCAGTAATACTTTATCAACCTGTTAATAGAACTGTAAATTCTCTGGGTAATAGGGTATGGGGACAGGGGAAAGGAATCATTCAATTGTGTTATACTGTAATATTTGCTAGAGTAATCTCACACACACCAATAAGGAACTGTAATCATAATTAAGGGCTAGTTACTGTTGTTAGTTGCACAATGATAAAGTTCTTTTCAAAATATTGGTTAGCCCACTTATAGTATGAAAAATGTCCTCTCCACTTATGCAGAAGAAAAAAATATTCAGAAAGTTATTTTTGGCCTTGCTATGTCAAAAAGTCAACTGTACAAAGATCTACGAGTCAAACCTAAAATTATAATTTTAAAAGTATATTAAAAACAAAAATGTCATGCATTTTTATTAATTATGCAGAGGCTTTAAAACTGTTGCAAGACCATAGTATATATTAGCTTTTATACTGCTAATGCACAACTAACAGCAAACTTGATTAGATTAACAGAAATCTGTCTTAATTACACCTTTATATATCACACTAGAGAGACAAATGCCACAAGATCTGCAGAAACATTCAGTTCTGAGCACTTAAATGGCAGGATAACTTTTTTTGTGTTATAATTCATCACATATAGATTAACAAAACAAAACAGGAAAAAATTCTGCAGTCTCACGTTACAAAAAATATACGGCTGTAAAATAGTAAAGAGTAAAGGACATCATCTATAACACAAACAGCTAGTGTCAAAGAACAAACGAAACCTCTAAATAAACATATCCAAGTACACATAGTAACTGAAGTACAAATACTGCATTAAATACAGTGAAGATTTAATAAGACTAGTCAATAAAAGACACAAAAATAGAAGAAACTAGGGCAACTAGTAAATAAAACCAAAATAACAGGGGAGGGGATCTGAACCATTGTTCTTACCCCCTAGTTGGAGCACAATTTTGGGAGGTGTCTTTCCATTCATATAACACCTAACACTGTACATGAAGATTTTAATGTCACAGAAAAACTTGGTTCTTCCATGAAATTCTTGATAAAATTTTTTAAAGTAGACATTATTATGAATGAAAAAAAAAAGCCAACAAATGGGCACCTATTATTTTTAACACTGCAGATTTACAGACACGTTTTTTAGAAGTTATCATAATCTTTTTTATCCTTCTTCCCCTCAGCTTCAAATCCATCAACTCCGTCACTGTCCCTTCTTCGCTTCCTGTTGCTGTGGATGTTAAAACGCTGGCTCATTTGGGGTAACGGGTCCATGCCTAGAACTTTGTGTATCTGGCGGAATGCAAGGAGTCTCAATGCAAACTGGAACAAAGAGTGAGAATGTAGGATTAATTAGTAATTCTTATTCGGTTTGTACCCTCATATGTAAAAACGCCTGTTTAACTAATGAAACAGCACCAGTTTCATAACTAGGACCAATCATCCACCCCGTCAACAACTGATGAACATTTGGAATGTTCCCACGCTTTGGCTATTACGCATAATATTGTTATGTACATTCATGTACAGGTTTTTCATGGACACGTTGGGTATAAATCAAAGAATCACACTGTTTTTCAAAATGGCTACTGTTTAGACTATTCTCAACCCCTCTCTATTTTCTTCAGCCAGAATAGTATATTTTTGGGATTTAAAAAAAAGGAAAGCTATAGCAGTTTTTGACTGATCAACTTATTTTTCATTCATTAGGTTCACATACTTTTCCCTTCTCATAATTCTTCTCATAGGACTGATAATGACAATGATGATAGGCAAGAGAAAGCTGGACAGTGAGAGCTGGTAGCAAAAACACCTGTTTCACTGGCAATATTGTTGGAGGAGAGCTCGATGGATACTCTGGGTCACCAGGAAGACCACTCACTGGGTCCCAGAGCAAAGGAGCCTGAACCACCAATGGACACACAAATGACAAAGTGGAAGCTGTCCGTTTGGCACATTCTGAGAAGACAGCGGAGAAGAGCAAGACCGAAGAGGAGGGGGACTGGCTGCATAAAGCACAGGCCTGAGCCAGGGGAGCTAAGCCAGGCTGCTGAGGACAGGACGCTGTGGCCATCACCTGGTCAGAGCGGACTCGATGGCATGAAGCACTCCGGGACCCAGTCAGTCCTCCCAACAATCCCGCTTGAGGCAGACAGTGCTTTTAGCCCCATTTTCAGATGAGAGGGCAGAGCTGGTATTTAAACCCAGGGAGTCTTGACTCCAGAGCCCACACTTTAATTCCATGAGGCAGCCTTCCCAGTGGTAGGACAGGCTAACGTGTAACAATAATTACCACAAACCACATCACTTCTGTAAAAGCAGATGGTATCATTTCTCTACTGATTTTCATAAATAACCTAATACTCAGATTTAACAAGACTGAAAATACTGCTTTGTTTTTATATTTATGTAATATACTTTAATTAGACATAGAGTTAATATACTTTAATTAGACATAGATTTCACTATTACTTGATTGTAATAGTGAAATCTAGTTCAAATTCCCTTTAAGAACGTAATGAGGAAGAGAAGAATGAATCCTGTACAGTGCTTCTTCTAACGGACAGTTATAAAGAACGAACCGGAAGGCAGCGGCCACCACAGCTGTGGGCCGGGACCACCCTCACCTGTGCACTGGAGGTGATGTCCTCCCGCTGCTGGTCAGTCATGGCGGCCAAGGTGTCAAAGGGGTCCTTCTCACAAGGATCCAGAAGGCCCGGACTGCCTACAGCCACACCCCGGGGAGGAAAACATTAGCTTTTCATAGGAGCAAGCAGAGTTCTGATTCAGTGATCAAACATATACAAGGGCAGGACACGTACCTTTCAGGATAATCCCTGAAGAAATGCACTCAAACACTCTTCTCAGTGCGTCTCCGGGGCTCTGCGGACTGGAAGCACTGCTGATGGCTTTCTCCACGAGCAGCTCCATCGCCTACAAGCACACACACACACGTGTTCAACAGCTTACCAAACAACACAATCATCAGCCACTGGATAAAAATGAAAATTTTAGCCGAAACCGGTTTGGCTCAGTGGATAGAGCGTTGGCCTGCGGACTGAAAGTTCCTAGGTTCGATTCCAGTCAAGGGCATGTACCCTGGTTGTGGGCACATCCCCAGTGGGGGGTGTGCAGGAGGCAGCTGATCAGTGTTTCTAACTCTCGATCCCTCTCCCATCCTCTCTGTAAAAAAATCAATAAAATATATTAACACCAAAAAAATTTAAAAATGTTGTGTGAAAAAGTTACACACAACAAATCACAAAAACAGAAAATAACAATTGCATGTAATATAAAAAATAAAACAAATAATGAAAACAAAACTCCCAAGACAATATAAAAATTACATTAAAAAATTATTCTTTTAAAAAATGTTTATTTACTGATTTTAGAGAGAGAGGAAGAGAGAGAAAGAAGATGGGAGAGAGAGGAGGTGACAGTGAGAGAAACAACATAAAATAAGTTGTTGTTCATTTATTTATGCATTCATTGATTGATTGATTTTTTTTTTTTTTTGATTCTTATATGTGCCCTGATTAGGAATTTAACCCTCAACCTTGGCATAGGGACAACACTCTCAACAACTGAGCTACCTGGCCAGGGCTACAATTTATTCTTAATGAAAAATGAAAATAGATTAATAGTTTTTTTTTTTATTATTTAAATTATTGCTTTTCTATTAAACAAGGACAGTCCTTAAAAATACTTTAGCTGTTTAGGGCTCACATACATTTCTTCTTTAAAACCAGAGACTGATGATACCAGGGCGTTACAGGAGGCCAATCTTCTACTAGAGAAGAAGACTTTTGTTTTTTCTTTACAATCAATATATATTATCTAATTTTTCATTTAATTCACAACTGAACTTCTATTATCCCAAAGGGAAATACAAATTATGCTTTCACTGTAAATGATATTTGAGACTTAAAATCTAAGCCACTAAATAAAACACAAAAGTAAAAGTATAGGTTTAGAAAGCAGCTAATCCAGGAAGTATTTTGAAAGGTTTATTAGGAAATTTGCTTTCAATTAAGATTTTTGAAAGTGAGATATAATTCCCATAACATTCACTCTTAGAGTTTACAAGTCAGTATGCGTACAAAGTTGTTCACCATAGCCACTCTCTAATTCCAGGCCGCATCCATTGCCACAAAAGAAACTCCTTACCCATTAGCTGTCATTCCCCATTCTCCCTTTCCTCTACCCCTGGCAATGACTGAATCACTTTCTAAAGATTTCTTTGCTCTGGGTATTTCATACAAATAAAACCATGAAAATGTGGCATTTTGTGTCTGGCTTTCTTCACTCAGCATAATGTTTAAAGTTCACCCATGGTGTAGCTTTGAATTTATATTTTAAATAAAACTACTAACAACAATTCAGAGAACGTAAAAAAAACTAGAAATACAATGAAATCCCTAAAATACTGAAGTTGAAAATACCTTAGTGAGAATCCATTTTTAGTTCTTTGCTTGAAAAGCTCATAGATTTACTAATCAGAGTTAAAAACTAAAGGTATTCACCCCAAAGCCACTATTCAGGTGTTTTAAACAAGAATTTTAAAATGTTTGGACATGTGAAGACTGGAGTCCCAAACAAATTGGGAATAAGTTATAAGAGAGAGGGGAATTTAAAGAGACACATTAAAGTGTGTATATTAACAATAGTAAAAAAATGACTACCGCTGGTAACAGCAGGAGAGATTGGGAAAAAATTTTTAAGTGAATGTTCAAAATGATATATGTAAATCACACCTAAAAATAAAATCATGATTTTCAGTGTATCCAGTTCAAGAATGAAAAATATTCAAGACATTTTAAAAAGATTTTCATTTTAAAATTTCAGTATTTTATTTATTTATTTAAATATATTTTATTGATTTTTTACAGAGAGGAGGAGAGATAGAGAGCTAGAAACGTCGATGAGAGAGAAACATTGACCAGTTGCCTCTTGCACACCCCCTACCAGGGATGTGCCTGCAACCAATGTACATGCCCTTGACCGGAATCAAACCTGGGACCTTTCAGTCCGCAGACTGACGCTCTACCACTGAGCCAAACTGGTTTCGGCAAAATGTCAGTATTTTAAAGAATCAGCTTCAGTTTTCCAAAAAACTCTATGTCTATATAATAAATATCTCATTGCCAAACAAAGTATTTTAAGATGTCCAGCAGACTGTGAAATTCTAAAGGATAAGGTCAATGTCATATATTTTGAACCCCTCTGCCTATCATAAATGACTAGTAGTATATAGAAAATACTCAATACATATTTGTGAAACAGAATATCTTTGGAAATAATCCTAATAAAAGGCTAATATGCAAATCAACCGAATGGCAGAAAGACCAGCTGCTAGGACGCACACTGACCACTGAGCTCAAACACTCAGCCAGAAGCACTGTGCCGTGCTCACGGTGGGCAAGTGCAGAGGGGGTGGCAGGAGCCCCTTCCGCCTCCGCCACAGCATTAAGGATGTCTGATCCCTAAGCTGTTAGTCAGACATCCCTTGAGGGCTCCTGGGCTGTGAGAGGGTGCCCGCCAGGCTGAGGGAACACCTTCCCAACCCCTGCCAAGTGCACGAATTTCTTGCTCTGGGCCTCTAATGTAATAATCATCCTGCTGATATCAGGGTAATAATCCTGCTGATAAAAGGGTAATATGCAAATTACTGATGCTGTGCTTAAAATATAAAATTGAATATGTAATTCTCAATAAATACCTAAACTTTACCAAGTATCTTTAGATAATGTTAAGGGAAAAATAAGTATTAAAAATCACCTATAACTTATATTTCAAGATAGAGAATGTGTTTCAAGTAATACTAAACTTTTTCAAACTCTGCTTATTGATTGGTCATAAAAAGTAGGAATTTGTTATTTATACTGGTATATAAAGGTAGATAGAAATTAATTGAGAATCAAGAAAGAAATGAATTATTTAGGAAAAACAGTAAGTCAATATATTTAAACATAATGAAGCTAGCCAACAATCTAACTTCTGAGATAATTTGCTTTGAAACAAGCAATTTAAAAATATTAATTTTCACCCAGCCTGAGCATGGACCCACTAACCAGGAAGTCACAGCTTTCTTCCAGGTTGGGGTCCATGTCCCGGTGGTGGGTGAGATCCCCAGGAGGGGACATGTAGAAGGCAGGTGATCCATGAGTCTCTTTGTTGGTCTTTCTCCCTCTCCTTTCCTTTTTAAAATTAATTGAAACTTTAAAATATATATATATTAATTTTCTACAGAAAATGGCTATTCTCCATGCAGATACCTATGATTAGTAAAGCAACAAAAGTACAACATACATAGATTTATAACTCTGAAACATGCATTTACTAGTAAAAGTAAAACATCAAAGATTAAGAATTAAATTACAGAAATAATATCTAGGCTGTAATGTAAAGGATCTTGGTGACTTAAGTTTATTTAAAGAGAAAAGATCCCCATATTAAATAATTTGAAATCAATAACTTCAACATTTGCTTTTAAAAAGTCATAACGTGCTTTTAGTTTTTGCCCAGTATGCATAATGTTGGCTATACGTCTGTCATATATGGCCTTTATTATGCTGAGAAATGACCCCTCTATTCCTACTTTGCTGAGAACTTTTATTAAAAATGGGTGTTGCCTGGCCAGTGTAGCTCAGTGGTTGAGCACGACCTATGAACCAGGAGGTCACGGTTCAATTCCTGGTCAGGACACATGCCCAGAGTGCAGGCTCCATCCCCAGTGTGGAGTGTGCAGGAGGCAGCCAATCAATGATTCTCTCTCATCATTGATGTTTCTCTCCCCCTCCCTTCCTCTCTGAATTCAATAAAAATGCATTAAAAAAAAAAGGGTGTTGAATTTTGTCAAATGCTTTTTCTGCGTCTACTAAGATCATGTAGTTTTAATTTTGTAATTTGTTTATGTGATATATCACATTTATTGATTTGCAAATATTATACCACCTTTGTGTCCCTGAAATAAATTCTACTTGGTCATGGCGTATGATCTTTTTAATATTTTGCTGGATCTGGTTTGCTAATGTTTTGTTGAGGATTTTACTTAGCATCTATGTTTATCGAGATAGTGGCCGGTTAATCCTCTTTCCTTGCATTGTTTTATCTGGTTCTGTAATCAGTATAATGCTGGCCTTGTAAAAAGAACTTGTAAGTCAGCCAGAGAAAGACACTTTATCACTTGATCTCAGTCATATGTGGGCTCTAAGAAATAAACTGAAGAGCAAAAGAGATCCACAGACATGGAAGCATGGAAAAGACTGACAAACCTCAGAAGAAAGGTGGGGGTGGGTGGGTGGGTGGGTGGAGAGACATTAACCAAAGAACTTGTATGCGTGAACCATGAACACCGGCAATAGTATGCTGAAGGCTGGGCAAAGGATGGGGGTGTTAGGGTGTGGCTAGAATGGGTCAATGGGGATAAAAGGGACATCTATAGTCTTTTCAACAATAAAGACAAATTTTTAAAACAAATAGATAAGAGTCATAAAACATACTTTTCCTTCCCAACCCTGATAATAATGCTTACTAAGTGGTGGGCACCCTGCTATGCACTTTAAATGCATGATTTAATTTAATTTTTATAACTAGGTATTATATTACTAGAGGCCTGGTGCATGAATTCGTGCACGAGTGGGGTCCCTCAGCCTGGCCTGCTCCCTCTCACCATCCGGGACGCCCAGGTGATGTCGGACTGCCAGTTTTGGCACAATCGCCACAGGCTGGCCGGAACCCTCAGTACAACATCTCTGGATGGAGACCTGTGTGAAGAGGCGGCTGCCGGAGAGGATCCTGAGGCTGGGCCAGGTGCGCTGCACCTGCTGCTGCTTGGTAGCGCTGATGCGGAGGCGGGAGAGGCTCGCACCTCTGGAGCTGCACTTGCCAGGTGTGAGCCAGCTTCTGGCGCCCACCAACTGAACGGCACTCCC